AAAAAAAGAGAGAGCAGAAACTTTAAGTCAAAAACTATCAAAATGTATAAAAGAAGACATTTTATAATGCTAAGAAGGCTAATGTACTAGGAAGATAATTAGAAATATGTATGTACCAAACATCATAGCACCTTAATATGTAATGTAAACATTAACAGAATTGAAAGGATAAGGAGAAATAGACAGCAACACAACAACAATAAGAGTCCAATACCCCCATTAATTGACAGAAAATCCAGACAAGACATCAACATGAAAGCAAAGTAATTAGACCTAACAGATTTAATACAAAACATTCTACTCAACAGCAACAACAACAACAGAATACACATTCTTCTCCAGCACACACAGAGGTTTCTATAGGATACATCATGTTAGGTCAAAGAAAAATCTTAAGGAATTTAAGAATGGTATCACAACATTATATTTTTCTGATCAAAATGAAATGAAACTGGAAATCAAAGAGAGAAAGAAAACTGGAAAATTCACAAATATGTGAAAATTGAGCAGCACACAATTGAACAACAATTGGGTCACAGAAGCAACCAGAAAGGACTGGGACAAAATAAAAATAGATTGGACAAATGAAAGCAATAATATGACTACCAAAACTTATGGGCTGTAACAAAAGCAGCAGTAAGAGGAACATTCAGAGTGATAAATGTCTACATTATAAAAGGGAAAGACCTTAAATAAATAAATAACATAATTACACACTTCAAGGAACTAGAGAAAGAGTAATAAACTAGGTTGTCAGAAGGAAGGGGAAAAAAAGATTAGAACAGAAATAAATGAACTTGAGTCTAACAAAACAACAGAAAAACTGATAAAATTTAGAATTGTTCTTTTAATGATGACAATCTCTTTTTTGGTTAGAATCTTATTTTATTTATTTTTAAAATGTTTTTTATTTTATATATTTTTAACATACATCTTCATTTTTGTATAATGTATGCCTTCTCATCTTGTTTATATTCCCCATGAGATTCCTACCACCCATTCACCCATGCACCATCACCGTTCCTTGTGCTCATCCCATCCCTGTTTACTCCTACTCCCTTCTTCCCCCCTGCAGAATGTCTCCAGTTTATAGTTGCTTGTTGATTTTTATTTCCACTTTTTTATAATGATTTTTCCCCTCTGATCCCTTATTTTGATCCTCTACATTCCTCCTATAAGTGAAACCACCTGGTATTTTTCTTTTTCTTTCTGGCTTATTTCACTGAGCATAATGCCTTCCAGCTTCATCCATTTTGCTGCAAATGGCATGAGTTTATCTTTTTTGATTGCTGAGTAGTATTCCACTGTGTATATACCACATCTTAATCTGCTCATCTGTTTTTGGGCATTTGTGTTGTTTCCATATCTTTGCTATTGTAAATAGTGCTGCAATAAACAGGTGTGCAGGTGTCCTTTTGAATTAATGTTTTTGTGTCCTTTGGGTAGATACCTAGGAGTGGAATTGCTGGATTATATGGAAGCTCCATTTTTAGCAGCTATAGGAACCTCTAAACAGCTTTCCATAGTGGTTGGACCAGTTGACATTCCACCAGCAGTGTAGGGGAGTTCCTTTTTCTCCACATTCTTGCCAACATTTGTTGTTGCCAGTTTTTTGATATGTGTCTTTATCACTGGTGTCAGGTGGTCTTTCTTTGTGGTTTTGATTTTCATTTCCCTGATTATGAGTGATGTTGAACATTTTTTCATATTATGCATTCTTTCATATTTTTTCAGTGCATATGTTGGCCATTTGCATTTCCTTTTTGGGGAAGTGTTTTTTTTTAGTTCTTCTGCCCATTTTTTGACTGGGTTATTTACTTTGTTTTGGTTGAGTTTCATCGCTCTTTGTAGATATTTGTGATCAGTCCCTTATCATCAGTATTGTGTGCAAAATTTTTCTCCCAAGTAGTAGGGCGTCTCTTTGTTTTTGTTAATGTCTCTTGCTGTACAGAAGCTCTCTAATTTGATGTAGTCCCAGCTGTTTATCTTTTCTTTCACTATCTTTGCTTTGGGTGATGTGTCTTTAAAGATGTTACTGAGGTGTATGTAATGTAGTGTTTCACTTATTTTTTCTTCGATATGTTTTATGGTTACAGGTCTTATGTCTAGTTCTTTAATCCATTTTGAGTTGGTTTTTGTACATGGTGTGAAGTACTAGTCTAGCTTCATTTTTTTGCATGTAGCAGTCCAGTTTTCACAACACCATTTATTGAACAAACTGTCTTCGTTTCATTGCATATTCTTTGCTCCTTTGTGATGACAATCTCTTAATATAATAATAAAAGAGAAAAATCACATAAAGAAAATCAGAAATGAGTAAAGAGACATTGCATTTGACATAATAAAAATAAAAAGGATCTAAAGAGGCTGTTATAAAAATTATACCACATACAAACTGAATAATTCAAAAGAAATAGATAAATTCCTAGAAATATACAGCCTATCAAGACTAAATCAGAAAGAAACCAAAAGCCTATGCAGACCTATAAGTAGTATGGCATAAAAGTCAGTAATCAAAAAAACTATTAACAAAGAAAAGCTCAAGATCATATGCATTCAGTGATTAATTCTACCAAACATTTCAAGAAGAATTAGCACAATTTCTCTCAAACTCCCCTAAAAAATCGAAGAGGAGGGAACACTTCCAAATATATTTTTGAGTCCAGATAACAGTATCAGAGATTCCACACAAAAACTAAAAACCTTTAAAAAGAAGGAAATTCTGTAATAGACAACAACATGGATGAAACTTGTTGGACATTATGTAAAATCCAAATACTGCATGATTCCACTTATATGTGTTGTCTAAAATTGTCAAGTTCACAGAATCAGAAAATGATTTCCATGTGTCAAGGAAGGAGGAAGTAGGGGATTTCTAATCAAAGGGCATTAAGTTTCAGTTAAGCAACACTAAGCTGTTATGCAACTTTGTATCTATACTCAACAATAATGTGTAGTCAAAATTTGTGTAAGTTGATACTACAATGTCTCAGTGGAGAAGCTGAGATCATCCTCAAATCTGAAATATCTGTAAAGGATATATAAAACTCAGTGATGCAATTAAGTTCATCTTTATGGGCAACAGTATTGTTAAAACATGTCTCTCCACATCCTACACAAACAAGTTTCCATCTGAATATGTACCAACTGCTTTTGATAGCTATGTAGTCAGTTGTGATTGATAGAAACTCATACACTTTTCAAGTTTTTGATACTGCAGGCCAAGGGGATTATGACAGATTACAAATACCAAGTTATCCACAAACAGATCTATTTCTAGTCTTTCCATCGTCATTTGAAAATGTGAAAGAAAGTGAGTGCCTGCCATAAATTACCATGGTGATTTCTTGCTTGTTGGAACCCAAATTTATCTCAGAGATGACCCTTCTACTTCTGAAATATTTGCTAGGAACAAACAGAAGCTCATCAGTCCATAGACCAGACCGGAGTGTGAAGATCTGGATCCAGACCTGAAGGCTGCCAAGTGTATGGGGTGTTCCACATGCACACAGAAAGGAGTAAAGACTGTAACTGAGGAAACCCTATTGGCTGATCTGGAGCCTCCAGAAATGAAGAAGCACCACAGATGTGTGTGGCTGTGAACATCTCTCCAGACAACAGCTGATATTGGCATCAAATAACTAAAAGCAAGGTTTATCAAACTAAAGTTTAAAAATTAAAATTCGATTTTGCAATACTGACAACTTCCCTGCACTAACTCACATGCACCATTGAGATAAAACCCATAGATATGACCCTCTTCCCCTCTCAACACTAGTTAATTTTGAATAACTGTGTATTTTTAGAAAAGTGATCAGTACTAGTTTTTGTTTTGATGTTTCAAAGTATACATATATATTTAAAAACAAGGTATGTTTATGAAGACTCTGCAACAGACTCTGACTGTTGGAAGTTTTTTTTTTTTTTTTTTTGTAAGCAAATGCCTGATTTAAGCTTTGATCAATGGGGCATCCACTTCACAGATGATTATTTCAAAGGAACACATTGCCAGTGTCAGTCCCAACCCCAACACCCTCAGTCACCCAGTCTCCTTGGTGTTAGAGATCTTTGATAATTGACCATTTGGGTTGATAGTTTTTTCTCTTCCCATGCTTAAAATTTCCTCTCTTATGTTTTAAAGACACCAATAAAGAGGGAGTCTGTGAAATGTTAGGACCTTACCTTTTTCCCCAGAGGCCTCTGTCCTAGTCCAACCCACACAGACACACATGACCTTGCTGTGTGGCCCCAGGTGTGCCTTGTGCTTTCTAAGGCTTGTGAACCATAAACCTTATTTTCAAAGCTTCCTGAGGGTCACTTCTGAGAAGGACTTGCAATTATAATAAAAACCGCGGGGTCAGGGCAGTCACAACTTTGGCACAAAACAGTTTTCCCTTTGCACGCTTGTTCATTTATCTCCTAGGTTGAACAGACCTGTGTGGGACTTAGGGCAGCCCTTCTTACTAATCAGCAAATTTCTGTTTTGCCTTTTCAGTAGCTTCATGCCCATTTATGTAAAGCTGTCAAAGCCTTTTGTATCTGCTTTGCCACTTTGACCTGGTGACTCACACCATAAATGTGGCAGAACCCTATACTCCTAGTCAGGAGACTCAAGAGGAACCAGAGATTTGTGTGAATTCAAGGTGATGAAGGGGGTTTCCATTTGAAAAATGAAGAAAAGGCAATCTGAATACTAGCAAATTCTCAGCTAGTATTTTCAAAGAATCTGGGTACAGCTTTGGAGATACTTCTCCTGAGAAACCTGAACTGTTGGAAGATGATCACCAACATCTAAAATTGCAAAGCTGCCAGGGCTGAAACATCAAAGCTTGGAGGAAAGTGGCCAATCAGAACCCAAGGCAAAATCAGATTCTTTTACTTCCCCTTTTAATTAGGCAAACTTCAGGGGTCACCACCTTCCTTTCAAACTTCCTGGTTGGGAAAGAAGTCCTGCTTTTGGCACGAAAGACTCTCCCTGCCCTGGGGCAGGCCAGGCCCCCATGCTGCTGTGGCTGCTGCTGTTGGTCCTGGGTGAGTACATGGGTTGGACTGGGATAGAGGCCTCTGTTCCTCATGTTGCTCACAGGAAAGCCAAGGAGTTCATCTCTACTTGCTATTGGGGTTCAGAGAGAGCTCAATATGGGAAATGAGGGTACTGGGTCCCAGGAAAACCAAAAACCTCCAAATACAACCCTCAGCACAAGCTAAGTATGCACTCATGGCTTTTCATCCATTTCTTTCTTCATCTCATAGGAAGATTGGATTTTTCTTTCTGCCAAACCATAGCTCTAAAATTCCTCAGATAAAATTCCAAGTTTGGAAGTGACTCCCTTCCTGAGATTTCAAGCCAATATTTAACCAGAGATACAAAAATATAGGAGGAACAACTCCTAAGAAATGGGAGAAGATGAATCATTTTTCCAAGTCCTCCTCTGTCTCTGTACCATGAGGTCAGTGGGGGGAGCATGGAACAAGAATGAAGCAATAAGCTGCTAGGTATAGAATAGCAGAGAGATGAGCCAAGGTTGTAGACTTCAGTCATGACATTTTTATAAAATAACTAATAAGTATTTTTGCTTGTTTTGGGACTCTGGCAGCTGTAGATCAGGAGCAAAGAAGTAGGAAGGAAAAGCTAAAGAAGTGGTTATAACTGGATTGTTGGAAAATTTCTCAGGGAGTAATGGAAAGGATTTGTGAAATACTGTTGTGTGCTAATCTTTAAATTTTGGTCCTTTCACAGCTCCTGGAATAGGACAATCAGGTCAGTTCCCCTTATCTCCATTCCTCCTGCTCTCAGGGCACTGGTCTCTGAGGCAGCACAGACTGTCGCTGTAAAAAAGGGCTGCAGGGATGTGCTAACATCAGTGGTGTTGCATCTCTGAGGTCACTCCTGTTGCGATGGTGGGTAGCGGATCCTCTTCTGATTTCTGTTTTTAGTCCTGTCCCTGGTCCACCTCAGGGTAGAGGGAAAAAGCATTTGCATAGTAAAGGGCTGAGGCAGAAGCAAAGAACCTCAGATCTGATCTGTATTCCCTAAGACTTCTCTCTGAATGCCCAAACCTGTGCCAATATCAAAGGATACAGAAATAGCTCCTATTCACAGAGGAATATCTACAGAAAATCCATATTCATCTCCAAAAGGATCTCATGTCATTGCCAACATCTAGTCCCATCAGTCAGTTGCAATTCTCTCCACAAATATGAGTCCTCAAGTCTCCCTTATCCCTTTATTCAAATTCTTTAAATTCCTCAGTTATTGATGGTTTCCAACTTAGATGGAGAGAATTTTGTGCCTTTCCCCACAAAATAGCCAATGAGACAAGATTTAAATGTAGTGAAAGTGAAAAAAATCTTGTTCATGAAATATTAACAACCAAGTAGGAAGTGATTTTTCAGAATCTAGAAACTGCCTCTGAAGTATCTACATCCCAGCCTCACCTCTCCTTTGACAGGAATGCAGAGCACAAAGACATTTCACAATCAGCCCACCCCTAGATGCCCTTAGCATGTTTGCCCCTACAAATCATATCTCCAGAGCTTCTCTGAGCCCACATCAGGGAACTAAGACCTGTCCCCCATGACACCCACCTTCCCACATTTGGGTTGTCTCAGGCATTTCCCAGGATGTTTCTGTCCTAAATGGAATTAGTCCAGGAAAATTCCTAGTGCAGATTGGGCCCACCCTTGTTCTCTGCCCACCTTCCACTGACCTTTTTCTATTTCCTGTGCAGGAAAAGCTCCAAAGGCTTTTCTTCTTCTCAACCCTCCATGGTCCACTGCCTTCAAAGGAGAGAGCGTGACCCTCACATGCAGTGTGCCCCATTCTCCAGCCCAAGGAGTCGTACTTTGGTATCGTAACAATGATTTGTTGAAAAATAGAGATAAAGAGTTCAGAATAAGAAAGTCTGGATTTTACAAATGCAAGACCCAACAATCTTCCCTCAGCGACTCTGAGTATGTGGAATTCTCATCTGGTGAGGAGAGAAGGGGATCTCTGGAATGAAGCCCTGGGCAGCGGGTCTGAGGGCTGGGTTAGTGCGGGGAGCTCTGAAAGAGCTGTAAACAAACAAGAGGATTTTCAATGAAAATTAGGAAACAGGATAGCTTTGGGATGATACATTTTCCATCTTCTCTGTCCAGAGAAGTGTGGGTTACCCAGAAGTCACCAGGCAAAAAGGGACTCAGTTCACAGAAAGCTTCGGTATAAAATTCCTCTTTCGTTAAAAGATATGTATAGGTATTAAGGATATTTCCTGGAAATTAGTTTACTCTACTAGGACAAAGGAGAATTGAGCACTGTGGTCACACGGGACTGTTATTGGACACCACTTGCAGGCACAGACAGGACTGTAGCTCCTTCCTTGTGGGCAGGAACAGGATCCTGAAGGAAGAAACAGCCAGGGCAAATGAGTGTGTTCCTTTGCAGACTCGCTGATCCTGCAGGCTCCATACCTCGTCTTTGAAGGAGAGGATCTAATTCTGAGATGCCAGGTGAAGGAAAAGAAAACCAATGAAATAATATACTATAAAGATGGAGAAACACTTGGTACTTCTAATAACTTGGAGTTCATACTAAAATCAGTCCCCCCAGGCAATGGCAAGTACCATTGTGGAGTTCATATAAAGGGGTGGTTTTCACCTAAATATGAAGAGTCAAAACATCTACTGATCAAAGTTCAAGGTAATGGGACACTTCCGTGGACAACAGGGCTCAGCAGGAAAACAGGGCAAGGTGGTTGAGGGAGAGAGTTTGCCAGAGGAAATCCCACGGAAAGCCTTTTATGACCCTGCCACGGGAGGGAGACAGAAGGTGGCTCTGTCTTCAAGGGGCCTGCAGCTCTTTACTCATGCCAAGAACATAGGTGCTTCTGTTTAGGAGCCCTAAGGACTGTGTGTTTCTTCTCTCTAGAGCTGTTTGCACATCCTGTGCTAAGAACCAGCCCTTCCCGACCCACAGAGGGGAGCCCAGTGACCTTGAAATGCGAGACTCAGCTGCATCCACAGAGATTAGGCATTCAGCTTCAATTCAGTTTCTTCAAAGCAAATCAGACCCTGGGGTCAGGCTGGAGCAGCTCCCCAGAGCTTCAGATCCCCACCGTGTGGAGTGAAGACACTGGCTCTTACTCTTGCTGGGCACAGACTGAGACACACAGAGTCCAGAAGAGAAGCTTCAGATCCCTGATTCAAGTGCAGAGTGAGTATCCCTGGAGCTCCTCCAGGGTCGAAGGAGGGAGGGCAGAACAATGTTGTCTCCTGCTACTCTGGACAGTAATGATCATGTGCAGTCTTTGGAGGTGCTGCCATTTGCTGACCTAAACATACGATAAAATAATTGGAAAAGAGGAAGATAAATATAAATTGAAACAGTCAGATAAGAACATAGGGGGATGGAGGTGAACCTAGAAAAAAGTCTTAGAGTACAGGAAAGGAGGGTTGAATTCTGAGTAAAGGTCACTTCAGAATAGAAGTGACACTCTCGGTGTTTCTCTTATATTGTGGTCCATCAGTGCATCACAGATTCCCTAGAGAGGAATGTCTGTAAAAGGTGAGTGCCATGCACATTAAGTTTAAGTTTAAGTTGCATCAAAGTCCTGATGCCTACATTCCCCAAGATGGAATTGTGTTTCTGGAATTGTCCCCATGGGGGGGGGGTGTTGCTCCCTTCATAATAATATAGACAATTATTTTTTATTTTTTTCTGCCTGATTTGGACACATGCCTATTCCACTTGCTGCCTTTGACTTACCCATGGCAGTTTCAACTTTCTCCTTGACTTTGAAGTCCCTGTTATCAGGACCCTCACCTGTCACCTTGTGCCCTCCCAGGAGTTCCCGTGTCTGATGTGAGTCTAGTGGTCTGGCCTCCCCAGGGACAGCTGATTGAAGGAGGAAAACTGGTCCTTGTCTGCTCAGTGGCTAAAGGTACAGGGACCATCACATTCTCCTGGCACAAAGAGGGCACATCAAGTCTGGGGAGAAAGACTCAGCATTCCCTGTCAGCTGAGCTGCAGATCCCTTCTGTGACGGAGCACCATGCGGGGAGGTACTACTGTTCAGCTGACAACATCGATGGCCCTATACTCAGCAAATGGATTACAGTCACACTCAAAAGTAAGTTCCCATTTCTGTTAGGCTTGGCTCAGAAGTCAGTGATAGGTTCTCTGTCAGCTAACCAAGAAATGAAAAGAGTGCAAAATAAGTTGAAGACACCTTATTTCTCATGAATAGGACTGAGAAATGATGAAAAATTCAGGATTACTCCTGTTTGTAAGTTCCTTAAGAAAGGTTTTGAATTTGTCATGGCATCAGAGTTTTCAGACAGCCTCTTTTACTCCCCCAGTTCCAGCATCCCGCCCTGTCCTCACGCTCAGGACTCCTGGGGCCCAGATTGTGGTGGGGGACCTGGTGGAGCTTCACTGTGAGGCCCAGAGGGGGTCTCCCCCGATCCTGTACCGGTTTTATCATGAGGATGTCATCCTGGGAAACAGCTCAGCCCTCTCTGGAGGAGGCGTGTCCTTCAACCTTTTTCCGACCCCAGAACATTCTGGAAGCTACTCCTGTGAGGCTGACAATGGCCTGGGAGCCCAGCGCAGTGACAGAGTGACTGTCAACATTCTAGGTGAGTAGGGGACACCCAAAGCAGTTATAGCCAAGAACAGGCTTTGTCTTCACTCAAACAGCTCTTTTGGGCTGTTTGCTGGTGTGATAGCCCGGCCAACTCCCAGGAGTTGGGACTCTTCCTTCTAACTATACACTCGGCAACTTAGGCAATTTCTTTGTTTCCTCTGGCATTGCCATCAATAGTGTCAGAGTCCACACAGTCTTTCTCTTAGAGGCACAAAAACTTTCTAGAATACCAGCTATGCAATGGCTCCACAATTTCTGACAAGGAATCATCATATAGAACACTTTATTGAAAAGTGACCAGATCATTCCTTGGCAAGGCTTTCTGCTCTACTCCCATCCAGTGAAATCCCTGCTCAACTCTGTGTAACTAGACAGAGTTTATGGACACCCACAGCCATGGGAACACAGCTTTCTTATTGTAAGGTGGAGGCCAGGGCAGGGATGGGGCAGAAAAGGGGAACTTGAAACTGCTGCCACCTGCATCCCTGAACTGGCTAGAGCCAGGCCTAATAAGCAGCAATAAAAGAACAACCAGTTCTGAGAGAAAAGCAACTTCTTTGAAAAGCAACTTTGAAAAACAACTTGACATTCTCCACCTCCAGCCAAGGCCAGACCCTGCCCTATAAAAGCTTACTCTCATGCCCCAAGGGGTTTTCTCAATATCTCCAATCAAAATTTTTTTTCACCAGGGACACCGAAGCATCTTATATTCCCTACTTCCAGCACATGCTGGCAATTAGTGACATGTTCATCCATTTACAAGACACCCTTAGTCCAAGCCATACTTATTCCAAAGTGCCAGCATTTGGAGGGGGTTGGGGTGGGGGCAGAACACTAGGATACAGGAAACTGGCAGTGATGTCCCATGACTCAAAACTCTTACATGCTCTGGATTTGCCATGACTTCTTGCTCTCCAGCGACTCCAAACTATGAGAATACTTAGGACTTTTTGGTGAGTAACAATTTTTCCTCCAGGCCAAACTTGGGTTATGATTTAGGTAGTATTCAAACCCAGGAGGGCCAGACTGGGTGCTGAACCTGGTGCTTTCAGTCTTGAATAAGAAAATATCTATTTGTGTTGCCTTAAACAAATCTATTTACTATTCTCTCCTCAATTTTCTCACTTTTAAATTAAATGAGCCAAGTAAATTACTCCTGATCACACACCACTCTCATTCAAGAGTATTGCACATGCACCCCAAATATTTATTATGTACATGTACTACTTAATATACACTTTATAAATCACAGAAATATAAATTAAGATAAAGTACATATTTTTATAATGAAAATATAACTGCTTATTTGTTATCCATGATAACATATAATATTATGATTACTCCCCACATAAGGCTACAATATTATTTTCTGTATAAGCTACAATATTATTTTAAAATATACTTCGAATCTTTGACTAAAATGGTAATCATATGTGATTTTTTTAAAAAAAAAAACTGTTGTACAGTTATTTGAGGTGTGATTATGAGTTACTTGCTCCAATTGGTCGCAGTGACTGTTATTGCTTAAAAAGACATCTTGTCAAGACATCCAGAGCCAGGTGGATGCAGAGCATCACTGGTTGTTCCTACAAGTCCATAGTACCCATTTTTCAATTCCATATGATAATTATGCAAAGATTTCCATTGAAATTTGCTTAGTGAATTTCTATTTTTATTGATGATAATATGTTATTCTTATAAGTGGGAAGTAACAAATATATTCAAACTTGGAAGAATTGCAATCACTGCATTGTTTCCATAGACTTTTAAATATTCATATATAGATTTTTGGAGTTAATAATTTTTTGGCAAAAAGCACACAAAAATGTAAATTTTTAGACAATCATTTTATAAAATATATCTCCATAACATGTTTATTTAGAAAACATTAATAACAGGAGTGGTGTTCAAAGGTCTTTTTTTTGGTGTCTGACTAAATATTATATTATTGATAATTATTGATCACCAAAAAAAAAGAAATAATGATCTTTCTTCATAGAGAAACACACAGATAATTTTACATTTAGTCCTCTTTTTTGAACTTTGCCACAAAATGATTGAAAAACTTCTTTGTGTTACAGAAAGTGTTTGCCATCATTCCCCAATCTCATTGCAAAGCATTTCAAAGATGCTACTATTTAAGATAAAATGACCCAAAGATGCTACTATTTAAGATAAAATGACCCATAATATTACCCAAGTAGCCAACCAAAAGGCCAGTTTGCTTCTGTATGTTGAAAGTGTACAGTGGGAGGTGCTGCCCCACTTCTCCCATGTGACCCCTCTGCCTTCACAGGAACTCCCCGCTGTGCTCACTGCATTGAGACCTGTGGCCTGAGTAGGTGTGTCAATGTGAATGTCAGTAAAGCTGAATTTATTTCTTACTTTCAAATTAAAAACTAAACATTCTTAAACATTCCCATGTTTTCTCCTCATACCCCAATGGACATGCTCACACTCCACCTACTGAATTTGATGATCATCATGGGGTGGTTTAGCCCTAGAGGTCTCTGATCCTTGGAACTGACCTTATAGAATTTTAAGTTTGGTGAACCCTGGAGGAAGAAATGCTCCCTGCAGGGAGCCCTAGAAGGATCCAAGAATCACTGCTCCTAGCACACAGAAGCCCAGGAAATAGGAGGCTAGAAAGATTCCAGGGACATGGTAGAGTAGGAAACTCCAGGAATATGTCTTCCAACTAGACACTAATTGCAGACTCAGTATGATGTAATTATCTTGGGACTTTGAGGTCTACTGAAGGCTAGCAAATACCTGGGGAATGCCTGGACAGTAAACTGCAGTTAATTTCAGTCAACTTCAGCACAGTAACATTATCCCATCCCCTCCCATTTTGGTATTGATTTCACTATCAGATTATATCTGACTTTATCAGATTATATCTTTATACATTGTGTGTCTCCAAAAATAAAGTGATAACTTTTATTTATTTTATTTTTTTTTTTTGTATTTTAGAGCCTTGTTTTATTTTATTTATTTTTTTCCCCTGGGCTTTAAGAATTATTTCATTTATTTATTTATTTATTTATTTATTTTAAAAATAAATTTTATTTTTATATTCCCCATACAATTGCAATCCCCTTATTTTGACCCCAATCCCTCCCCTCCCCGCTCCCCACCCCCCCCATAGAGTGTCTCTGGTTCATAGTTTTTTGTTGATTTTGATTTTCATAAAGTGATAACTTTTAAACCCATTACTCTCAGATACACAAATGACCAATAAACACATGAAATGATGCTTATCATTGCCAATTATTAGGGAAATGCAAATCAAAACTATAATGAAATACCACCTCACATCTATTAGGATGACTAATATTAAAAAAAATCAGAAAATAACAAGTGTTGGCAATGATATGAGAAACTGAAACCTTTATGAATGGTTGGTAGGAATGTAAAGTGGTGTCACATTTATGGTAAACAAAAAGGAGAGTTCCTCAAAAAAGTAAAAATGTGGGGCCTCCCTGGTGGCACAAGTTGTTAAGCACAACACTGTGAAGTATCTGCAGCCTCTGCAGCACAAGTTTGATCCCTGGCTGGCCAGGGAGCTACCCACATGGTGCAGCAGACCTCTCCTGTCTCGCCTGCTTCTCCCCTCAGCAGTGTTTTCAGTCAGTATTCCTGTTCTCCCCACTCTGTCTCTGGTGAATCCTCTCATCCCCTGCACCTCTGGCCTGTGCCCCAGTTCTTGTATGCATAAATAAATAAACCTTTAAAAAAATGGAACTACTATATGATCCAAAAATTCTACTTTGGGTTATAACTGCTCCCCTACCCCTCCAAATTGAATACTGCTTCTGGAAGAGACAGTAATATGCCTCTATACATAGTAGCATTATTCATAATAGCTAAAACATGGAAGCAAACTACATATCCATCAATGGATAAATGTATAAACAAAATGCAGTTTATATTTATAATGGAATATTATTTAGGCTTAAAAAGATAGGAAATTCTGATATATGTCATAACATGGATGAAATGAGGATTTTATGCTTGGTGAAATGAGCCTGTCATGGGGAGACAAATACTGTATGATTCCTCTTATACATTTATAAAAATAAAATAAAATAAAATACTTCAGCCAAAAAAGGGGTGAGGATGAGCATGAGGGAAGTATTGTAAAATACTAGTTGTTGAGATTTTCAGTCATGAATAAGAACATTCTAGGATCTAAGTGCCACATGACTGTAACTGTCAGTCCTTAATTAGATCCTCCGTATTTGCTCAGATTAGAGCTTTACCGTCCTCACCTAACAACAGAATGGGAGTTTTGTGGGTTTGGGGAGTTGTTAAGGAACCTTATTGTGGTCAGCATTGGACAAATTTGTGTGTATCAGTTCATCACATTGCACAATGCATAGCCTACAGTTTTACATGCCAATTATATTTCAATAAAGCTGGAAAAAAATCTTAATCATTAAATCTGGGTGATGGGCATGTGGGGCATCATTAAAAATAATTACTGCTAAAAAATATGTTTATCATAGTCAAAATCATAGAGTCAGAAGGTAGAATAATGGCAGCCAGGACCAGGGAGAGGGGTGGGGACAGGGAGTCAGTGGGTATAGGGTTTCAGATTTATAAGACAAGCCTTCTGAGGATTGAAGGTGTGATGGTTGTACAGCACTGCGAATGAATGTATTTCCTACCACCAAACTGTACACTTGAAAATGGTTATGGTGCTAAATTTTATGTTATGTGCATTTTAGTACAATAAAAATAATTGAAAGAAATAGGAGGCAATGATGCCGGTGTAAAAGCACCTCGAGATGCACAAAGTCCATACAAAGATTTACTGGCAGGTCCTCAGCATTCTGCTCAGGCTACTTTAAACTGTGAGGGATGTAAAGAAAGGTCAAATTCAGGCTGTGTGCTGAGGTTTAGCAGAAACATGCACTTCCAAAAGCAGGACTGGGCAGTCAGCATAAGGTATATTTTTAAGCTGAATTATTCCCAGTCAATAAATGGTCCCCCTGCTCCATCCCTATTAGCTCATCTAAAGACTGGAAGCCAAGCTGAAAGTCCTCCTCCTGGGCTTGTTTCTGGCCCTCCCCTCACCATTTAGCATAATCAGCCACCCTGCAGATCAACTTCTACAAATATTATTTACTAATTATCCTATACATTTAAAAAAAACAATGATTACCTATTCTTTCCCCCTGTCCTATTTCTATAATCTTCAATTAAAATGGAAATCACTGTTTCTGTCACTGCATCTGGGTATTTTTGTACTGATCTGATTGAGTTCATCCACCATTTATTGAGGAACAGGTCAGGCAAATTCCACCAAAAATTAACCAACAGATAAACCCACATTTTTTTATGAAACTTATATTCTATTGGGGATATAAGGGGAAGGAGATTACTGCTAAATGCTATGTAGTTAAAACCTAATGCTCTCCAGCTGAGGAGGAATGCGGGCCTACTTAAGTTGGAAGTCTAGGTTGAAAGCTAAGATTCAACAGTCAATAAAGTATAGAAATGAACCTTGCTTTTAGTTATTTCCACTAATAATAATAATAATAATAATAATAATAGCTAAACCTTATCTATCACTTTACATACATGATTCATATTAAAGTAGATTGAGATATAAGTATTATTAGCTCCATTTTACAAAAGAATAAACAGACTCAGCAATTAAAAAGTTTTAAAGCATCAAGATCACAGAGATAACACCTGCCAGAGGTAGGATTCAAATTATGGTTTTCCTACTAAAAAGGAAGGCAGAATATTTCCTTTTTTTTTTTTAAGGTAACAATTTACAAAACTGTATGACATCAGTCTTGGTGAGGTCTTTGTGGACTCATATACAACGGCAAGAGGGACACAAGTGAATATAAACAAATGAGACTATATCAAACTAAAAGGCTTCCTTCTGCACAGCAAGCAATTCCTTATCGAGTTATTTTGTTTATACAATTAAAACTGATGATGAACTATTTTTCTCCCCAGTTCCAGTGTCCCGCCCTGTGCTCACTCTCATGGCTCCCGCCCGGGCTGCAGTGGGGGATGTGGTGGAGCTTCACTGTGAAGCCCAGAGGGGGTCTCCCCCCATCCTTTACTGGTTTTATCATGAGAATGTCACCCTGGGAAACAGCTCAGCCCCTTCTGGAGGAGGAGTGTCTTTCAACCTTTCTCTGACTGCAGAACATTCTGGAAACTACTCTTGTGAGGCTGGCAATGGCTTGGGGGCCCAGCGCAGTGAGATGGTAACACTCAATTTCCCAGGTAGGTTGGTGTATCTGGTTATAGTTTAGTCAAGAAATATTTTTCCAACAGATTATGCAAATTGATCCAGCGCTAAAGAGATTTTGAACATGGCAACAAGAACTAAACTAAATTTGCCACTTGAACTAAACAGCTCTTTCAACTTAGTACCTCCTAGGAACAAAATAACCCAAATCACCGTGGGAGTCGTGGGGGCCCTGCTGAGCCTTGCAGCTTCTGCTGCTCTGGTAGGACACCTCAGGACCTGGAAGAGATCAGGTGGGTGTCTTCGCCTTACTCTGTGATGCTGTGACTTTTACCACTGCTGAAATAACATGGACTGCATCCTGTGTAGGGTGGACTAGACCCTCAGTTCTACTCACCACCACTAGTGACAGAAACAAGAACTCCAACTCTCCATCAAGTTGTTATTCCATGTGTTTAATTTGAGATTTAAATCAGGTAGCAGAATTGTACTTTCAGTTAAAAATTAGAAAGGTAAGTATTTATCCCAGTTCAAACTTACGGAAAACAAGAAGAAATGAAAAATAAAGACCTATATTGGTAAGATCTACCAAAAAAAAAAAAAAAAAAAGCCAGAGATGCAAACCATAAATTGAGGTATATCAGAATACTTGTCAAGCATAGTGACATTTGGATAAAATTAATAGAGAATGCTGAGAATGAAGTTAAAACTTCATTTTCTGATTGTTGCTTGACCATAAAAATTCAATTGATTTTTCATTGACTTCATATCCTAGAACTTTGCTAAACACATTTATTAGTTAATTGGTTTAGTGGATTTTATCAGATTTTCTACACAGGTGATAACATCATTACAAATAAAGATAGTTTTACTCTTTCTTCTCCAATTTGAATTCCTTTTATTTCTTTTTCTTACTTTAATGTGCTGGCGCAGACCTCCCACAATGTTATATGAAAGCAGACATCCTTGTCTTGTTCCTGCTCTTAGGGAGAAAGTATTCAGTCTCTTAGCTTTAAGTTTGATGTAATCTGTGGATTTTTTTGGTAGATGTTTTTATTAGGCTAAGGAAATTCTCTATTATTTTTAATTGCTGAGAGTTTGTATAGAAAAAGTGTTTCTGCAAGATTGAGATGCTCATGTGATTTTCTTTTCTTGTCTTGACATGGACCCAGCCCAACACTATAGAGACTTAGAATTTTGAATGTTGAACCCACTTTCATTCCTAGAGTCATACTCACTTGGTCATAACTTTTGAATATGACTTGCCAAGTTTTGTTAGGAATATTTGTCTCTATGTTCATGGGGTATGTTATTGTTGTTCTGAATGTTTGTTGTCAAGTCAGAATTTACTTAGCTACCACTTCCAGTGTTCTTCATTCCTTTTTTTTTGTATACCCATATTTACTTCTATATGTAAAGTGTACTTTTTATAGATAGCAAATAATCAATTCTTGCTTTTTATTCTATATGACAGTCTCTACCTTTTTACTAAGACTTTTATGCCATTTACATTAATGTGATTATTGATAGAGACATATCTATTATTTTGCTTTTGTGTTTGATTTGCCCCATTTGTTCAATTTCCTTTTCCTTTATTTCTATGTTTTCTATCAGCTGAGATTTTTTAAATTCCATTTTATTTCCTTTATTAGTTTATTAGACTTGTAACTCTTTGTCTTGTTATATTAGTGGTTGTTTCAGGGTTTAAAGTGTGCAAATATCATGTATCACATTCTGTCTTCATCTGTAGTATAAGATTATTGCCACATATATTCCATTTTCCCCCTTCCAGGTATATTGGTATTATTTTTTGCAAACAATTAACTTTTGAAGCGAGTTAGATGTGATTTAAATTTTGTTATGTAATTTACTCATGTAGTTACTACTTCCAATGTTTTATCCTGTTTTGTTATCTATATTTCTAGTGATATTATTTCCTTTCTGCCCCAAAGATTTCTTTTAACATTTCTTGTCACATGGGCCTGCTGGCGAATGATATCAGCTTATGTACATCTATGTATGTTTTTATTTTGCATTCATTTGGGAAATATATTTTTCCTGCCATTGAATTTTTCATTTAAGTATTTAAAAGATGTTGCTCTGCTTCTTCTTCTTCTTTTTTTTTTTTTTTAAGATTTATTTATTTATGCATATAAGAACCGGGGCACAGGCCAGAGGTGTGGGAGGTGAGAGGATTCACCAGAGATAGAGTGGGGAACAGAACAGGCAGACTGACTGAAATACACTGCTGAGGGGAGCAGCAGGTGAAACAGGAGTGGTCTGCTGTGCTATGTGGGTTGCTCCCTGGCTTCAGTGTGCTGCAGTGGCTGCAGATAGCTTCACAGTGCTGTGCTCAACCCCTTGCACCACCAGGGAGGCCACTGCTGTCTTCTTGTATGCATGTTTTTTTAGAAATGTTTGAATACTTGAACTCTTTTGTTCAATACTTTGGGTGCCTGTAAAGTTTAAAGTCTTTATATTTTGAAATATCTAATCCTTTGTCTCTCTGTGTGCTGTAACATTGTATCCCTTTTTTCTATCAGGGCAAATATTTCTGTTTTCTGTTTCTTGGGGCTCATACTGAAAATCAAGCAAATTAGCCAGCAAACGTTAAAAAAATTGGATCTCAATTTAATGAAAAACAGTATATATTTTTCTTACCAATGCTCATCAAGCATTGCCTTCTTACCCTTTTTTCAGATGAATCAATGAGCCTCCAGTTTTAGGTTCCTTTGCATGAAAAGTGGAGCCAATATTTTATAATTGATATTTTAAAGCTACATAGTAATTCTTTATTAACACTACATATAAAATTGTGTATACAACTTAAATATACACACACACCAAAAGTACTAATCCCAATAGTACTCATGAAAGTTGTCATTCATTTAGTATATTATATGCAATTTTATAGTTTATCTAATTCTCCCAATTTTTCAATAAGTTCAGTAGAATTTCATCAATATTACTCCCATCATACTAGAAATTTTAAAATATGGAGATTTCAGAAAGTTAAATAACCTTTCAAATTCATTTAAGAGTCAGAGCTAGAACTTAACTGATGTCTCCTTAATCCTTGAGCCCATATACTATCCATTATACCTTGATCATACCTCCTTCAAAATTACTTTTCTATCTTAACATGTATTTGAGTTATCAGTTATTTATCAGTATTATTCTAAGAGCACAGACTTTAGAACCTCAGTGTTGTAGTGGATTGTGTCCAAAAAAAACCTGATTGCTCAGTCAACACAACACCCAACACCACCAGGGAAGGAAAGATTACCAACTGTCATTTTATGTCATTTTATGATCCAGGAGGGTAGAAGCCCAGGAGATTCCATCTTCCAGATTGAGGTGTATTGTCATTTTTAAACAGGAAGTAAGGAATTCTGATAGTCTACCAGTCAGAGAGTCTCTGTCTTTCTCATCTCAAAGTCTTGCCTATTGTACTTTCTTCATGCAAGGTTTACCTTTTTATTACTGACCAGTCTTCTTGGGAGGGAGGAGTTCAGTCCTTCAAAATGTTTATGAAAGTGAAGAGCTCTGTTCCATATCCTGAGTGTACCCTAGTCTAAGTGTATCCAAGGAGTGTGATAAACCCACTATTAGTTGACTCTATAGTTCAATTCTCTGGGTTTAAATTTCAGTAAATTCAGTTACTAAATAAGTGATAATCAGACAAGTAAATCAAACTCTCCAAAGTCCATTTTATTTAACTATATAATGGTCATAATAATAGCTACATTTTAGTTGTTATTGGACAATCTATGAAAACAGTTTAACACAGTGCCTGAGTCTTCAGTGAATATTACCTTACTATAAGTAGTGACTTTCTGGATCTATTTTTCTCTTACAAATGATGAGATAGACTGACTCTTAGGAGCATTCTGAAAATGATCTAACCTGCCCATAACTGGTTACTGGTTGATTTGAACTGTAGTTTCCTCAAGGAGAAAAATACAGTCTGAGATCATGCTCACACACCTTTAGTTGAACTCAGATGCCTGTTCCTCAAAACAGGGTTTTTATACAGTACCAGTCATTTTTCCAGGGAGGTAAGCCTGAGTATGTTTACTTTGGGCATTAACTTGTATTCTCTAAGGCTGGGGAGACAGACATAGAACCACAGAAAAACAGGTAAGGATAAAAATGGGAAGTTGGGAGGAGGTTTTTAATGGGCCGGCCAGAAAGATTTAAAAATTTCAATGCAAAACAGCCAAATTTATTTTATTTTATTTTATAATTTTTGCATCATTTTTCATTTTTGCACAATGTATGCATTTTCATCTTGGTTACAGTCCCTATACAATTCTCACCCCTGCTTATTTTGACTCTAATCCCTCCTCCCCACCCCCCTGTAGTGTTTCTCTGGTTTATAGTTGCTTGCTGATTTTGATTTTTACTTTATTGTAATTAGTCTTTTCCCTGGTCCCTTATTTAGGTTTTCAAAATTCCTGCTATGAGTGAGATCATCCTTCAGTATTTTTCTTTTTCTTTCTGGCTTATTTTGCTGAGTATGATCCTTTCCAGCTCCATCATGTTGCTGCACATTGCATGAGTTTATCTTTTTTGATTGCTGAGTAATATTCCATTGTGTATATGTACCACATCTTCTTGATCCAGTCATCTATTTTTGGGCATTTGGGTTGTTTCCATAGCTTAACTATTGTGAATAGTGCTGCTATAAGCATAGGGGTGCAGGTGCCCTTTTGAATTAAAGTTTCTGTGTCCATTGGGTAAATAACTAGAAGTGGAATTGCTGAATCATATGGAAGCTCCATCTTTAGGAAGTTGAGGAATCTCCACACAGCTTTCCATAGTGATTGGACCAATTTGCTCTCCCACCAGCAGTGCAGGAGAGTTCCTTTTCCTCCGCATCCTCACCAACATTTGTTGTTGTTAGTTTTTTTAATATGTGCCATTCTCACTGGTATAAGATGGTATCTCACTGCAGTTTTGATTTGCATTTCCCTGATTACAAGTGATGCTGAACACTTTTTCATATGCCCATTGGCCATTTGCATTTCCTCTTTGGAAAAGTTCGTTTTAGCTCTTCTGCCCATTTTTTGACTGGATTATTTACTTTGTTTTTGTTGAGACTCTTCAGCTCTTTGTAGATTTTTGGGATCAGTCCTTTATCAGTAGTGTTATGTGCAAAACTTTTCTCCCAGTCAGTGGGGTGTCTGTTTGTTTTGGTTACTATCTCTTTTGCTGTACAGAAGCTCTTTAATTTGATTTAGTCACAGCTGTTTATCTTTGCCTTCACTATCTCTGCTTTGGGTGATGAGTCTTTAAAGGTGTTACTGAGGTGTATGTCATGTAGTATTTTGCATATATTTCCTTCTATATATTTTATGGTTTCAGGTCTTATGTGTAGTTCTTTAATCCATTTTGAATTGGTTTTTGTGCATGGTGTGAAATAGTAGTCAGGCTTCATTCTTTTGCATGTAGCGACCCAGTTTTCCCAGCAGCATTTATTGAATAAATGTTCTTTGCTCCAGTCAAAGAAGATTCGTTGACTGTAAATCTGTGGATTTATTTCTGGATTTTCTATTTGGTTCCACTGATCTGTGTGTCTGTTCTTGTTCCAATACCATGCAGTTTTGATTATTATGGCTTTGCAGTATAGTTTGAAGTCTGGGCGTGTAATGCCTCCATTCCCTTCTCTTTTTTTTCCAGGAGAGCTGTGGCTATTTGAGGTTTTTGGTGGCTCCATATGAATTTCATCAATATTTGTTCTATTTCTTTGAAGAATCTCATTGAAATTTTTATTGGAATAGTATTGAATCTGTAAATTGCTTTTGGTTGGATGGCCATTTTGATAATGTTAATTCTTCCAATCCATGAGCAGGGGATGCCTTTCCATTTCTTTGTGTCTTCTTCTATTTCTTTTAACAATGGAAAAACTGCCAAATTTTTAAGGAAAATGAAATAGGCTTCCATACTAGACTTACATGTAATCATCTAGTCATCAACGTGTCATTCTTTTAGTCCTCAACTTGCCATTCTTTTAGTCATCAACTTGACATTCTTTTTGTCCTCAAAGTATACACTTTAATTTGTATAGTTGTTTAATATCCTTATTGAATATTTTCAACATTCTAGGCACTGGGAGTATAAGGTAGTTAAGACAAGGTTTGTAGCCTCAAGTAACATACCCTTCCATGAAGGTGAAAACTAGAAGCAAATCTAGAAACTGATGATTAAAATACAATGTAGTAATTTTTACATCTCAGGGTTTTAATATCATTTGCTATTGTGTGCATGGAGACTGGTCACTCAATCCAGACTATTGACATCTGGGATAGCTCTGGAGGAGGAAAGACAAGTTGGAATTAGATCACAGAGAAGGAAAGGAGTATGGAGAAAAACATACGTACCCAATATTGTTGGAGTGGATTTTCAAGGATCACAGATAAAGAGAGGTCAAATTTATTATGTAGTCCTAACGACTCATATTTGTGTAAGAATTCTATATCAATTTTTGTCCCTCCTTTAGGTCTCAGTCTCCTTACTTCTATCTCACAAGACTGCTGTTATGATAACAAAGTGGCAAGGGGGAAGCACTTGACCCAGAGCTAAATATTAAGTTGTCTCTCTCCTGCTACTCAGTCACAAATACATATAAATGGTATTACTATAACTGATTGAATAATAACTCAGCATAAGTGTGATTTCGGGCATGACATGATGGGTAGAGCTGCATGTCCCCTAAGATTTGCCATAGCTGAGAACTAAAATGAACCTGAGTTCCGGGAAAGGACATTCTACCATAGAGCATGTTATCCATGCAACTCACTTACCATCTATGTACTTTGTTTATTTTTCAGGAGGACTTTCTGCACCTGGCACACCTAGGTGAGGTCTCTGCTTTTTGATTCCCAATATTTTCATAATTTATTTGTATACCCACAAGATAGGAACACAGTATTATGTACATTAAAGTATTTGACTAGATTTTCCAGTAAAATGTTCACATTCTTATCTGAAAAACAGTACTGTGATAAAGGTTGTTTTCAATCATATTTGTGACTAACACTCATTTCTACATACCTGTACATGGACTTCCTGTAACTTGCTGTCCAATCTAATTTATCTGATTTTTTAAATGTGCTCCAATAGAGAATTGACCACAGTCTTAATGACATCAACATTCAGAGGGTTGCAGTTCATTCATTCACTTATTTCTTATTCTTCCATTCATGTAATTATTTCAAAAGTAATTATTGAATTTCAATAATGTTCAGTTTCATAATATTCACGAAAGAAGAAATGAAACTGGGAAAATATAACACTGTTCCTGAAAAACCTTTATGGTATCTTTAAAAAAATTATTGGAGTAACATTATTTTTGAAGCTTATATGGATTTCAGGAATGCAACATTCTATTTATTTTTTTAAAGATTTATTTATTTATGCATGCAAGTGCTGGGGTATAGGACAGAGGTGTGGGGGGGGCGGGTGAGAGGATTCACCAGAGACAGAGTGGGGAACAGAACAGGCAGATTGACCGAAGTACACTGCTGAGGGGAGCAACAGGCAAGTGAGGAAAAGTCTGCTGCACCATGTGGGTAGTTCCCTGGCTGGCCAGGGATTGAACTAGTGCTGCAGAGGCTGCAAACAACTTCATAGGTTGCATCTTAGCCTGTCGTACCATCAGGAAGGCTCAGGAACACAATGTTTTAAATCAACATTTGTACAAATTATGTTATGATATAACAATATCATATCACCACCAAAAGTCTAGTTTCCATCCTTCAACATATAATTGACCACTTTTACCTGATTTATCCACCCCCTCTCACCCTTCCCCTTCTGGTAACCGTATCTTATGGGCTAAAATTTTGTTTTGGTTTGTTCATTTATTTTCTTGGCCATATAGGAGTGAAATACAGTCTTTGTCTTTTCCATTTGATGTATTTCACTTAGCAATATAGCCTCTAGGTCAATCCATGTTGTTGCACATGGCAGAGTTTCATCTTTTTTTTTTTTTTAAAGATCTATTTATTTATTTATTTATTTATTTATTTATTTAATTTATACAAGCACTGGGTACAGTTAGAAGTGCGGGAGGGTGAGAGAATTCACCAGAGCCAGAGCGGGGAGCAGAGCAGGCAGAAGGACCGAAGTACACTGCTGAGGGGAGCAGCGGGCGGCAGGAGAGGTCTGCGTGCCATGGGGACCCTCCTCCGGTGGCCGGGGAGCAGCCGGGGATCGAACAGTCACTGTAGAGGCTGTGGGCAACTTTGCAACCCAGCGCTTAACCGCTGTGCCACCAGGGAGGCCCAGTTTCATCTTTTTTATAGCTGACAAGCATGCTATTGTGTATATACTACATCTTCTTTATCTGACTCATCTGTCCATGGACATTTAGGTTGTTTCCAGTTCTTGGTTATTGTAAATAACCAAGATGAACATGGAGGTGGATATCTCTTCAAATGAATGTTTTTGTACTCTTCAGATAAATGCCCGGAAAAAGGATAGCTGGATAATATGCAATTTCCATTTTTAATTTTTGAATAATCTCCGTACTGTTTTCCATGATGACTGTAGCAATTAACATTTCCACCAAGAGCATATGATTGGTATCTTTTCTCCATATCCTCACTAACATTTTTGTCTTTTTTATGATAATCATTCTTGCATGAATGAGGTGATATCTCATTGTTATATGATTTTCATTTCCCTAACAATAAGAGAAAATAAACATCTTAATATCTGCCTGCTGCCATCTATATGTCTTCTGTTTAGATCTTTTTCTCATTTTTGAATTGAATTTTTGTTTTCTTATTGTTGAGTCTTATGAATTCTTATAAGTTTTGGACATTAATTCTCCTTATCAATTGTTAATTTTGCAAATATCTTTCCCCTCTCAGTATGTTGCTTTTTCAGGTTTTTTTTTTTAGGATTTATTTTTATTTATTTTATACATAGAAGAGCTGGTGTGTAGGCCAGAGGTGTGGGGGTTGTGTGGGAGGATTCACCAGAGACAGAGTGGGGAGAAGAACAGGCAGATCTACTGAAATACACTGCTGAGGGGAGCAGCAGGTGAGACAGGAGAGGTCTATGCTATGTGGGTAGCTCCCTGGCTGGGGATCGAACACATGCCACAGTGGCTGGTGGTAGCATGATAGTGCTGAGACTTTAACCCCTGCACCACCATGTTGCCTTTTCATTTTAATGACAGTTTATTTCACTATGCAGAAGCTCTTTAATTTGAGGAAGTCCCACTTGTTTATTTTTGCTTTTGTTTTCCTTCCCATTGAGGTCCCCAAAGTCATCTCTAAGGGTTACATCAAGGGATTTATTCCTTATATTTTCCTCCTTTGTGTTTTATGGTTTGGGGTCTTGCATTCAAGTGTTTAATCCACTTTGAATTAATTTTTGTGTATAGTGTGAGATAATGGTAGAGTTTCATTTTTTGCATGTGGCTGTTCAGTCTTCCCAACATTTTTTATTAAAGAGACTTTCCTTGCTTCATTTTATGTTCTTAGCTCTTTTGTAATAAAGTAGGTGTCCATATGTACAAGGATTTATTTTTTGGCTCTCAATTATATTCCAGTGTTCTGTATGTTTATTTTTACTCCAATACTATGCTGTTTTGATTACTATCACTTTGTAGTATATTTTTAGTCAGGGAGCATAATACCTCCATTCCGTACTATTTTTTTCTGATATGTTGTTCCCTTAATCATTATGTAGTGTTCATCCCTGTCTCTTGTTATCTTGAAATATGTTTTGTTTGATATAAGTATGGTTGTTTCTGCCTTCCTTTGAGTCCATTGGCTTGTAGAATTGTTTTCCACCCTTTGCCTTGATCCTGTGCTTATCTTTGGAGCTCAGGCATGTCTCCTGGAGGAAGTAGAGGTTGGATTGTGTTTCCTAGTTCAACAAGATGCTCTGTGTCATTTTTTTTTTTTTTTTAAGATTTTTTTATTTTACTCATTTGTACAAGCACTGGGTACAGTCAGAAGCGCGGAAGGGTGAGAGAATTCACCAGAGCCCGAGTGGGGAGCAGAGCAGGCAGAAGGACCAAAGCACACTGCTGAGGGGAGCAGCGGGCGGCAGGAGAGGTCTGCGCGCCATGTGGGACCCTCCTCCGGTGGCCGGGGAGGGGAGCAGCCGGGGATCGAACCGGCGCCGCAGAGGCCGCGGGCAGCTTCGCAACCCAGCGCTCAACCGCTGCGCCAACGGGGAGGCCCACTCTGTGTCTTTTAGTTGGTGCAGTTAGTCCATTCACATTTAGAGTGATTATTGATTTGGTTCTTTTTTCTCAGGACCGTTTTGGCTACTTGAGGTCTTTTCCATTTACAAATAAATTTTATAATATTTTTTGTTTTATTTCTGTTTATAGTGCTGTCAGATTTTGAAGGTGATTGCATTGATTCTGCATATATTTTTCGGGTAATATGACCATATTAATTATACTAGTTCTTTCAATTCATGAACCCAAAATCTCTTTCCATTTCTTTATGTCTTCTGTTTCTTACAGCATTTTCCTGTAGTTTTCAGTGTTCAGTTCTTTCATCTCTCTGGTTAAATATATTCCTAGTTACTTAACTCTGTTTGACATGGTTGTAAATGGTATTTTCCCCCTCTGATTTCTCCTGCTAGTTCATTGATTGTATATAAACATGAAAGATATTTTTATATATTGACGTTTTAGTCTTCACTTTATTTGTTTTATATTTCTAATAGTTTTTTATTTGAGTCTATGGGCTTTCTATGTATATTATGCTATCTGCAAATAGTGATGTTTTCCTTTTCCTTCTCTAATTTGGATACTTTTTATTTCTTATCTAGTTGTCCTAAGACTTCCAATACGTTTTTGAAAATATCCTTGTCTTGTTCTTCATCTTAGAGGAAAAGATTTTCATTTTTCACCATTGAATATGATGTTAGCTGTGGATTTGTCACCTATGGTCTTTATTATGCAGAGGTATATTTCTTCTAGCCTCATTTTGTTGAAGGTTTTTTTTTTTTAAATCATAAATAGATGTTGAATCTTGTCAAATACTTTTTATGCATCTATTGAGATGATCATATTCAGATGAGTTTTTGTTCTTCCTTTTGTTGATGTGTTGTGTCATATTTATTGATTTTCATGTGTTGAACCAACCATCTTTACATCCTGGAATAAGTCCTACTTGATATGATTTTTCTTCAATGAATGGCTATATTCAGTTTGCTAGTGTGTTGTTGAGGATTATTTCATCTATTTTCATTAGATACCCTGTTCTACAGTTTTAATTTTTTGTAATGTCCTTGTATGGTTTTAGAATCAGGGTAATGAAGAGTTCAATAAGGATGGGTATTAAATCTTTGAAATTCACAGTGAAGTCATGTGATCCTGGATGTTTGTTTTTAGGAAGCTTATGATTAGCTTCCATTTCCTTACTTGTGATTAGCCTGTTCAGATCTTCTGTTTCTTCCTGAATCAGTGTTGAGATGTTGTATATTTCTAAGAATTTGTCCATTTTTTCTTGATTGTTCAGTAGTTGCTATATAAATGTTCTTGGTACTCTCTTATGATCCTTTGCATTTCTGTAGTATCCGTTATCACTTCTTTGCTTTCATTTCTGATTTTATTTAAATTTTCTCTCTCTTTTTTCTTTCTGGCTTAAAGATTTGTACATTTTTTCAATCTTCTCAATTAACCAGCTCCTTTGTTTTATTGATCTTTTGGGTTGTGTTTTTGATCTCTATGTTGTTTCTGTTCCAATTTTAATTTTAATTTTTGTTATTTCTTCTGACGTTTGGCTATATTTTCTCTTATTTTTCTAGTTTAGGTGTGAACTTAGATTTTTTTTTATTTGGGTTTTTTTCTCTTGTTTCCTGAAGTAGATCTCTGTATCTATCAACTTTCCTTTTTAGTACCACTTTTGCTGCATCACATAGATGCCAATAGCTCATGTCTTCATTTTCATTTGTCTCCAGATATTTTTCATTGCTTCTGTGATTACATCATTGACCCAATAGTAATTTAATAGCGTGTTGTTTAATATCCACAAATTTGTTTATTTCCCCTCTTTCAGTTTCCCATTAGCTGGGGGTGCATTTTCCACACCTTCCACTTAAGTATTTTTATAGCTTAAATGACTCTCAAAAGGAGACATAGTATATACTTGGGTTTTGTTTTTCAGTCCATCTAACCTACCTGCATGATTGGTGAGTTCGGTCCACTTATCTTAGTGTGATTATTGCTATTTCCATTTTATCTTTTGTTTTTGGTTCTTATTTTTTTCCTTTGTGTTGTATTGGCCACTGACTCATTTGGAAGTTTCTGTGGCGCTTTCTTTGTTTGGACACTAATTATGGTTTGTATTTCTGTTCTAGGTTTTTTTTTGTGGTTATCATGGTTATCAGTTTTTGTATAGACTGACTCATACTTCAAGTAATCTGTTGTTTCCTACTGATACTATTCTATCTTCTTGCCTATACAGTTCTTATTCTGTTATCTTTTTACTTACTTTGTCATAAATTATTCTTATTTATATACTGTGAGATCATTAGGGTACCTATCATTCTTTTTAATGTTTATTGTCTGTTAACCTTTATTCTATAAAATTAGTGTTAATTCCCATATAGAGTGTTAATTCCCATAGAGTTGCAACATTTTTTTAAAGATTTATTTATTTATGCATACAAGAATTGGGGTATAGACCAGAGGTATGAGATGTGAGAGAATTCACCAGAGACAGAGTGGGGAACAGAATGGGCAGATTGACTGAAATACACTGCTGAGGGGAGCAGGGGCAGGTCAGGAGAGGTCTGCTGTGCCATGTGGGTTTGTCCTTGGCCAGCTGGGGATTGAACTCATGCTGCAGAAGGTGTGGATTCCTTCATAGTGCAGTGCTTAACCCCTTGTGCCACCAGGGAGGCCATAGAGTTATCACCATTATTATTTTTTGGTGAACTTTCTCTTTTTTTGAATCTTATAGAAGATGTTTTGCAATAATTCTTGTAAGTGTGGTCTAATAGTGGTGAACTTCTTCAACTTTTGTCTAGGAAAGTCTTTATTCTTTCTTACATATAAAGGAGAACTTTGTGGAATAGAGCAGTCTTGCATGGTAGAAGTTTTTATCTTTGAGTATTTTGAATATTGCATTTCACTTTCTCCTGGCATGTAAAGTTTCTGCTGAGAAATCTGATAATATCCTTATGTCTTTATGTTACATAATTCTCCCTGCATATACACACACCTTTAATGTTCTTTATTCATCATTGACTTTTGATTTATTTGTTATTGACTTTGGGCAATTTTGCTATTATGTTTTTAGGTCTCTTTGCATTTAGATAACTAAGTATTCTGTTAGCACTTTATATTTTATTCCTTCCTGACATTTGGAAAGTTCTTAGCTGTTATTTCTTTGACTAAGTTCTCTGCTCCCTTCTCTCTCTCTTGATCTTCTGGGATACCCATTGTCCTTATGCTGCCTTTCCTCATGGAATTCAATAGTTTTTGTATCATTTCTTCATTTTTTAACAGTCTGTCTCTTTCACCTGAATAATATCTTGGTTTCATCTTCAAGCTCACTAATTGTTTTCTCCCTTTGGTCTGTTCTATAGCACTCAGTATTTACCTTCCTCTTTGGATTCCCAAATCTAAAACTCAGATGCTTATCAACTGTTGGTGTACTTCAAGACTCTGGTAACAATCTGGCAGAAGGCAGTTGAAGGGGAATTATAGTTGAGAGCACTTTCCTTTACACTTCTCCTGGGATCCAAATCCATGTGTTTTACCTCAGTTCTGCTGCTTTGGGATGTACCTGAAACAAGGTGCACTGATTGGGCTGGCAGCTCCACAATCTCTTGCTCCCTGTCTACCTCCTCCACACATCCCACTCCATCCATCCTCCATCACACAGATATATTATGGGGTTTTGAGCATATGGATATATTTTCATCTATAGTTAATACATTAGGTGTGGATTTAATAGGAGAAGTAGAGGACGCATTTTGTGCTACTGTCATGGTCCTTTATGGTATCTTATTGGAAATGTAGATTGTCATAATATGCAGTAGAAAATAGAATAATATATGAATAAAGACAAATATTAAGTTTGTGGGAATGCAGACTTTATGTACCAATATTTAAGCAATTTTTTAAATAATAAAAGTTTAGGCAAGTTTTGCTCTATTAAAGAACCTCAAGGCCATGTAACTTTTGTCCTCTGTCCTTGCTTCTGTTGGCATTCTTTATAATGTTGCCTTGGACTTCATCTTGTGCTGAGCATGTGAAAGCATCATGGAGATTCTTAGACTAAGCAGTCATAATATTTTTCATGTTGGGCTCTTCCTGGATATTGATACCCTGTATAACCCACCAATGCTTTTCTCTCTTGTCTCTCCCCCCACACCTTCACAGTGCCAATGATTGTCAGGAGCCTTCCCTGTCCAGGTCTGCCATCACAGCCCCACCAGTACCCACCCACAATGAGTCACCAGTCCTAATGGAACTGCAACCAGTATATAGCAATGGTGAGAAATTCTTAAGGGACAGAGGGTGCAAGGAATGAGCCAGGCAGGGAGGAGAGATTGATTAACAGTGCCTGGTCAAGTCACATTAAATTTAAAAATGACACTCCTGGCAGTGTGTTGGGGATAGAATTTGTGGCTGGGAAGAAGAGTCTAGAATGTGCACTCTTGACTAGTCATCAATGACCTATTCCCTCACAGTAAATCCTGGAGATTATGGCTTGGTTTACTCCCAGATCTGGAACATCCAGCAAAAAAAAGAAAATTCAGGTAAAGAAGATTCTAGATAAGTAAAGGTGAGGTGGTGGTGTGTTGTCAGATCTAGCAAGGAGTCTTAGATCAAAGAGGCATCTCAATATGAATTCAACATGGAAGAAATTAACTACTCCTTTCACATTGCCAATCATATAATCATATCCATCCCTTTTTACTTGTCTGTATTACACCATCACTTCACAAACTCTTGGGTGACAGACACTGTAATTTTTCACTAATATATTGGTAATATCTAGTGTGATGTTTTGAAAACTATAGGATCCTTCAAATACTTTTTGAAGTATTTGAAGAGTGAATGAATGTAATTGCTAAATTAGGTAAGAGGGACACTCTGCTGGGGTTTTGATGAACGGTTGAGAAAGAAGGAAATTGTCAGCAAAGTTATTCTGGGCATTTGGTGGGCAGGGGAAAGGATTTATTAGTGTATATATGGGGAAAATACTTTGTGAGTACTTAGAAGAGTTCAGCAGAGAAAACAGTTAAGAGATGAATCAACAAAGGAAAGATTGGCTTGGAATGCATTATGGGTAGGTTGTAAGTTGGAATATATCACTCAGTCAAAAACATTTTTTCCTCCTTTTACCCAACAGCAAATTCACCAAGGATGCATCAGAAGGATAAGGTGGGTCACATTTCTGGTTTTCTTTCCTCCTGTTCTTCCTTGTTTGTATTTAAGCACTTCTTGTTTTTGTGCTTTTTCTACCAGGAACCCACAATTATCTACTCAGAGTTGAGGAATGCACATACAGATGACTTTGCAGGGCAAGCGTTCAGTAGCGGCAGGACCCATGAAGATGCTGCAGAAAACTATGAGAATGTCTCATGTGCGTTATTGGCCTTGGACCACTAGCCTTATAACCAAAGTCCCCACCAAGACCCTGTTTTCTCCACATACCTTCCCTCTGCCTCCAGGACTCTTTCTCCAAGGGAGCTGGGCTGTAGGGGCCATGAGCCTGTGTGTTTCTCTAGGAACAGTTTATGCAGCTATATTCTGTTCACATGTGAGACATATATGAATATAGGACATGGCAGGTGGAAGATGAATTCCTCAGTCTATGAAATAAAGGATGAGAAAGAAACAAGAGTGTAATATAAGTGTGATGAGGAGCTTTTATATTATACTTCTGCATAAATAATTCACTGTAAATATTTGTCTCCTTTTTTGTGAGGTTCCTGGTGGCATTGCTGATGTTCTGTTATACATGCTTGGTCCAGGCACCAAATTAGAAATGGCCAGAAGGATTAAGTCTATCTACATACATACAATTTCTTCTTAAAATTTACATCAGTTGTAAGATTTTTAAATAACTCCATCCATTTAATGGGAGATAACTTCAAAATTGTTTGACAAGAGTTATGATCTGAATTGTGTTCCCTCAACATTCATCTGTTGGAGCCTAATTCTCACTGTGACTCTAATTGGAGATGAGGTCTTTAAGGAAGTTATTAAAGGTCAGTGAGGTCATATGACAAGTCCTGATCCAATTAAACTAGTGTCCTTACAAGAAGTTGAAGAGATGCTAGAGACCTCTCTCTCTCTCTTTTTCTCTCTCTCTCTCACTCTCTCTCTCTCATACACAGAGGAAAGACCATGTGAGGACACAGCAAGAAGGCATCAGTTTACACAACTCAAAGTTTGTCAGAAAGAGAGGACTCAGTCTCATCAGAAACCTTGGATTTCCTGCTTCTAAAGATGTGAAACAAATAAATGTCTGATATTTAAGTCACATGGTCTGTGGCATTTTATTATGGCAACCTCAGCAGTCTATAGATTTATACCCAGATATGTAGAGGATAAATGATTCATGATAACAGATAGATGAGATAAATACAGATATAGTACCCACACACTGTCTCCCCAACCCATGCAGAATTTGTGTCCCTTAAAATAATCCTCTCTCATGGGATTAAATGCTCCCTCTATTCTAGCGGTTTTACTGTTTAAGTATTCAACATCTACTATTTAAAGAATACAGAAGCATCAGCACCAAACTTGGAAACCCAGCTGAGCCAGTGACTCACATGAGTCATACGGCAAAGCTCAGTATTACTGGGGAGTCCTCATGACCTGAGCTGTAGTGGAGGTAGAGAGGCAAGGCAGCCACCAGACTCTAAGGAGCACATCTACCACTGCCCAACGACTCTTCAGTCATTCCTCAATTGACTGACAAATATTGAAAGTTTACTACTGAAAAAAGTTTTTAAAGCAAGTCATTATGCTTAAGATTCAGGAAAAATGACAGAATCACTTTTATTCCTAAGATCAGGGGATGCAGGAAAGGAATAACTGGAATTGTTAGTCTCTATCTGCTGCAGGGGGCCTTGCTGCCCCAGCCAGAAAAGACACTGGCAAGCAGCGAAGTTAAAGGGCCTCACACCGTGGGACCGAAGCTAAAGAGACTCATACCTTGAGGCTGAAGATTCCTTGTGCCTCACACCGTGGGGCTGAAGATCTAACATCCCTTTATTTTTTGTTCTTGGTCATAAAAAGAGAAAAATTTCCCAGAAAGTACATTAGGCAATAAATTATATACATCAGTATACTGCAAATAAACGGCATGGAAAATTATCTGTTTAGAAATTAGTTATTAAACAATTTGGCTCACTTGACAATGGGAGACGATTTATGGTACATGCCTGACAAGCAATCCAGTGCAACAATTATAGTAAATCCTTCTTTTGCTTTTTTAGAAGTTTCCCTTTTTATTTAGAAGTTTCTTAGGAAAGTTTTTAAATAAAGTTAGAACTGTGTTAAGAAGTTTCTAGGTAGAAAAAAGTTCTGATAGCTGAGTAGCAGCTGGTCTCCGGCTGAAGGCCATATGAATAGAATAGTCTTCAGATGCTTAGGCTTTAGCTGATAGGGATGCACTGGTGGCTATCCACTGTCTTAGGTAATTGTCTAGCTGAAATAATAAGTTTTAGTGTTAGGTTTGGTTTTTTATCTATTAACCTTGAAGGCTACCATTTAGCTGGGACCCGTGGGAGCCAGTAGTCCATGGGAATAAAATACACTAATTGTTTCTGCTTTGCACATGATAATGTATTTTTTTTCTGCTTACTAAAAATGAATAAATAAAGACCTGCTGAGTCTCTCGGCAGAAGATACTTGCACCCCATCCAGTGTCATTGTCTCCTCACTACCTTACCCCCATCCCCTCAGCCCTTAAGTTTCAGCCCCTTACAGGTCGCCTAGGCCATCTCATCCTTTCAGGAACCCCTGACACGACATTTTGCCGGGGGCTGGTGCCCGGCATCTATCACCCTGTATTACACTAAACATTTTGTAGCTCTGAAAACAATAGACCTTAAGAAAATTGTATGTTCACTGTTGATTAATGCACATCAGCTGACGTGTCGACGAAATTGATTTTGCACCAGCTACTGTTCTTGACTTTAATTGACACAAATGATGCTTTGGAAATCTTGGAAATAAATCAAGCATAGAAATACTAAGCATATGTCAAAATTGATGCTTTCCTTTTGAGTATCAGAGCTTACAGAACAGAAAGTGTACAGTAAAATAAATCTAATTTGAGGTTTTTGATCTTAGACTAATGAATTACTTGCAAGATAACTAGCAGAGGGAAAGATTATTTTCATCTTAAAGAGTAAGTACATATTTTATTATGAAAAAGGGACTTTATGTGTTTTGTGACCATATTTGTCAATACAAAATTGAATCCAGAATGCATGCCTGGCCTTGGGAGAGAACAAGGAATTCAGGTGGAATATGTTTCTGGTTCAAATTTTGCTCCAAATGCTCTCACTGAGGAGAGAGGAAACACCACCAGGTGCCAGCTGAGGAAAATCCATCTGAAAGAGTGGTGTCAAGTGACAATGTTTCTTTACCGACTTAAGAGAGAGAAAATCCCTAGAGGAAAAAGGATCAAGGAGCACCCCTGGGCAGTGAGAATGACCCCATAGGAGCATGTGTCAGTGGTGCAGGCTATGCCAAGGACTGCAGCCTCCACTGCTATGAAGGAGAGAATCAGCAAAAGCCAGCAAGAGATGGACACCAAAGGGACTCTACAGGGTATGTAACAGTTTTGGCATGTGGGAATCTGCCTCTAGGTCCTAAAACTGACAGCAAATAGTACTGTAAGAATTCACAGAGAACCTATGGGAGGTTTGGAAGAAGATCCAGGGGTAATTCATGTTTCCAACTTGTCAGGAGATAACATTGGAGAAATCAAAATTTACGTTATTTCTGTAATTTTTTCCTTGCATTAGAACAATTTCTAATTTGATGGTTCTAATGCTAGTGGTTCCAGGTTTGTTTTTTTTGTTTTTTGTATTTGTATTTTTGAGGGAGGCAGGCACTGCTCATCTGCTTGCACTGGGCTAAGATTGAAGGGATTTACAGGAGTCTGGGAAAAGGAGGGGCCGGTAGATTTTGTGAACACTAACCCAGCCAACAGTGGTCCCAGGCGTGTCTGCTCAGCCACTGCCTAGCAGTCAGTGTTCCTTATGGTTTGTGTGCTAGGACCTGCAAAGGGGAGCCCCAAGAGCCTGGGTAAGGAAGAGAAGCTGCCTTTCAGGACTACCAAGCTATCCAGGCTGCAGCCCCAGGTGTGTGAATTCCAAGCCCATGCAGCATTTGGTGCTCCTTAGGGGAGGCAAGGAGTTATGGCATCAGTGATTGTGGGTTGGCAGTGGGCTAGGAGCCAAAAAGAAGCCCAGGAGTGAAGCAAGTGCTTTTTCAGGACTGCAAAGCTAGCCACCAACAACCCTAGCTGTCAGCTCAACTCCCACCTTGCAGGTAGTGTTCTTTCTATCAGCAAGGAGGTGCTTAGGGAAGCCTCAGGAATCCAGGTGGAGGAGAAGTGAGTGTTTTGTGGGATGCCAAACTATGTGCTAGCAATCCCAGGTGTGAGCTCCATAGGGGCTCAGTATTCCCTATAGTAGGGGAGCTCACTGAGCTGTGGTCGGCTGGGCAGAGCCAAAGGGAAGTAGGGCCAGTTTCTGTAACTGACAGAAGTTTAGGCTTGGTGAGCTGGGAACAAACTTTCCTGTTTCTCCTAGGGGTGGGGATAGGAGTCTTCTCCCACCATGTCAGGCTCTGAGAATTTGCAGGGCTCCAAGGTCCAACCTCAGTCTCTAAATACAGGGTGTGTGTCAGGGGGAGGTTCCCCTTACTTCTTTGCAGTAGTTCTAGAGACACATGCCTCCAAAATCCCAATCCTCCTCTGCCTGTTCCCCACTTGGGCATGGCAGCCCATGGCTGTGTACTCTGCACAGCTACCTTTGCTGTTCCAGCCTCCCTCTCTGGACTCCACCCCGGCCAGTGGCTTGCGGCTACCCACCTTCAATAATGCGGGTGTGTGGGCCATCAGGGATTCTCTGGTGAAAAGTTGGTGTGAGATGTAGGGTACAATAAGTTGCTTTCTGAGTGTCTTTAGGCATTTTCCTGACATGGCATAATTTGCCGTGTTTTCTGGGTGTGTCCCAATAACCTGATGTTTAACATTTGAAGAGACTGCAGTACTCTTTCTTCAATGGCTGTATCATTTACTTACCAGGTTAGTGTATAAAGTATTTGTAATGTTAACTTCTCTTTCATTACTAATATTGCTGGTATATTTGTTCTCTTTTTACGTTTGATCTGCTTACCCAAAATTTCTCAATTTTGTCAAAGTAAAAGCTTTGTCTTGTTAATTGGCACTATTTTTTTTTCAATATTGTGGATTTCTGCTTTTTTATTACTTCATTTCTTCTAGTTATTTAGTGTGTGATAGACAGAATTCTTAGATGGCTTCCCAGATTCTTGTCCCCAGTGGCATGCATCTTCTGTTCTTGAGTATGACTGGGACTTGTGAATATAATGGGATTTCACTCCATTAGGCTACTAATAATTTTCTTCTTTGGCTAATCAAAAGGGACCTTTTTTTAGGCTATCAAGTCAGGTAAATCTTTGAAAAGAGGTAAAGCATCAGCGAGATGTTTCCTTCAGGCCTCAAACAAGGAAGGAGCCGCCATGTTGTGAGCTGCCTGTGAGAAGGGGTGTTCCTAGGAGCTGGGGTGGTCCCCAGCCAACAGCCAGCAAGAAAAATGTCAGCTATGCAATTGAAAGGAAATGAAGGATGCATTGAAGTGTCACTTTCTAGCCTCACGTCACTCTGAGGATTTAGTTAGTTGACACTTTGATTTCAGCCTGGTGAGACCTTGAGTAAAAGGAGGGTCCCCGGCTCTTGTGAAAGTGTGCCAGATGCAGAGGTCAGAACTGAGATAATGAGCTTTTGCTGCTTCATGCTACTAAAATGTGGTGACTGGTTACATAAACAATAGGAAATGAACACACTGTGTCTACTCTGCTCCTATTTCTCATTTCTTAAGGTGGCACCTGTGTCACTCATTTAGACCTTTATTCTTTTCAAATAGAGGCATTAAAAGCTGTTAAGTTTTTGGGCCTCCCCGGTGGCGCAGCGGTTGAGCGCTGGGTTGCGAAGCTGCCCGCGGCCTCTGCGGCGCTGGTTCGATCCCCGGCTGCTCCCCGGCCACCACAGGAGGGTCCCACATGGCGCGCAGACCCCTCCTGCCGCCCGCTGCTCCCCTCAGCAGTGTACTTCGGTCC